TATTTTGCAGAGACAAGGTCTCGCTATGTTGCTCAGGCTGGTCTTGAACTCCTGGCCTCAAGTGATCCACCTGCCTTGGGCTCCCAAAGTGCTAGGATTACAGGCATGAAGCACTGTGCCTGGCACCAGATAACTTATATTGTCACACTGTTGGCTTAATGTTGAGTTTGGGATTAGCCCAAAGTAGCTGCCATTACTGAGCACCTGGTGTGCCAGACACCTGTGCTTCATGCTTCTGTCTAATCCTGCAATCCTGTCAGTGGAGCAAGCACTGTTTTATAGATGAGGAAATGGCATCAGAGGTTAATTTTCTTGCTGAAGGTCACACAGGAAATGAACCAGGATGCAGACCTAGCTTTGACCTTTCCAAAGATACCTCTGGCAGCATGGCTCAAAACTTAGGTTAGTTTCTCATAAATACAGTGTTAGATTCCTTCCCCTGGAGCGGTTCGCTTGTTCTGAAGTTTGAATCATAGGCTTTCTTACACCACCCCCGCCCCCTGCTCCATCCAGCTTTTTGTCGCTCACTACTTGTTTCAGTGCTGTTGCTGTGAGTGTCTGAAGCATCAGTATTATTTTTCTCCTGGAAACTTGAGGTTTTACACCATTCCCAGTGCCACACAGTTTAATATAAAGGAATGGGGGGAGGGTACTCATGGGGATAACTTGAAATATTTTCTAAAAGTATTAAATTTCAAAGTCACCAGTCTTTGTACCCAGCATGGTAGGATGGAGGTTTAAAAATTCTCAAAAGATTTTATAAAGAGTATTTCAGCTCTTTATAAAACCTGAGAGCTCATAATATCTCATGAATGAGCTTGAAAGTCTTTTAAAAATTAAACAATAGCATGTGGATGAAAATGATCTTAATGTAAGATATGCTGTTCCCGCAAGCCTCAGTGAGTGCTCGACAGAACATCATTCAAACAGAAGCCCCAGGCTGCACGGTGTCACGGCTGCTTTAATAACCTCAGGCTTAACTGTGGCCCACAAATGTACTTTAAAGTATTTTTAAACAGATAACTTAAAAATGACCTAACTTTATTATCTACTTTTAAAGAGCCTAACCACATCTAAAAAGGTAGCTGAATGTTTGAAAGTAGTAATATTTGGATGTTTTTACAGTTATCTTAAATCTCTGCTGTGTACATGAGTTAGGATTACATTCAGCCTCAAGGAACAAGAAACTCACATGACTGAAACAAGGCTCCCCTGATTCTTGTGAATGTAGCTGGTCCAGGGCTGGTGTGGTGGCTCCGTAGTCCTCCCAGCTCCAGAGTCCTGCTATCTTGTCCACTTTCTTCCCAGGACCGCCACCAAGGTGGAATCCCGATTCCATCAGAATCTGAGGGTGGGACCCAAGCATACTGTATTTTAAAGTTTCCAGAGATCTAATGTGCAGTAAATTTTGAGAAACACTAGTGAAGGGGTTAAAAATTCAAACTCTGGAGCTATGTGACCTTGAACAGGTTACTGAACCTGTGTTTTTCCCCTCCTCTGTACAAGGGAAATAAGAGTGGTACCTCATAGAGTTGCTGTGAAGATTGCATACCACATGGAAAGTACCTAGACTGGTGCCTGAGACATAGCACTCAGTACGTTCTGTCTTATTTTCTCCTGGTTAAATGTCTGGATATACTGTAGTTTGTCAATGCCCTTCCTAAAATGTGGAGCCCAGGGGACTAGACCCCATTCTATGTGAGCACCATGAGAAACCGACCATGTGTGCTCATTGACAGCTGTGTTAGTGCCTCAGTGGGGCCTGCTCCATCCCCAGTCATCATGTCCGTGTTCCAGCAGTGGGAAGGAACAAAGAAGAGAATGTCTCCTCCCTTTGAGGACATTCCCAGAATGGCACACCGTTTCTACCTATAGCTCAATGGCCAGACGTTAGTCAAAAGAACACCCAGCTGCTGGGAAATAGAGTCTATATTTTAAGCAGCCATATGCTCAGTTAAAATTCAGAAGTAATTTTGGTGGGGACGAGGGGGAGAATGGAAGTAGGGGACAACTGGAGGGCTTTGCTAAATTGTAGATTAAAATAACTTTAAATATATCACTTCAAAGGACGGCAAATGGTTCAGTAAAAGGCAAAATTGCTGATAGATATTCTAGAATTTTCAGTAAATGTTCTGGAACTTTTAGTAGATATTCTAGAATTCAGTAAATTCTAGTAGGTCATCTAGAATTCAATAGATATTCTAGAATTTTACTCAGCATCAGCACCAAGCTAGATGGGCTGTAATTCTGGGAACTTAACCCCATCTTTGGAAACCCTAATGACCATAATCTCCAATGGTGCCTCTTCCCTCAGGGCTTCAGACAGCTTGTTGAGGACCCTCTGAAGAAATCTTTCTGGTCTCAGTGTCAAGAATAGGACTCTCAGGCATGCGTTTTTATTTTTGCCTCCTTTCTGGCTCGACTTTGTGTCCCTGCCCTTGTTTGTTGATGTGTGTTTTTTTTTTTTCTTTCTGCTTCTACTTTCTAAACATCATGTGTCTTATACGTTTGTTGACTGATTGGATTGCTCTCTTGGAACACAGTGTTATCTGCATGAACACAATGAAGTCTTGAGCATACTTCCAGTTCCCGTGTGCAAGTGATGGTATCACCTGGCCTGTGGTTCCATCTCTGGATGTCAGGACTCATTTGGACAGCTGGTGATGGCAGAGGAAGAAAGAGCACCATTTGGGGACTCAATTTCCTTTTTTTAAAAATGTATACAATCTTCCCTTTCCATCAGAAGACAGAGAAGTGGGAAACGACATAGAAGGTTTGGGGCAAGGTTGGGGTGTTCCCAGGTGACTCCAGAGTGGTCAGCCTTTTATGTTCCTGTGCTCTAGGAGCTGCGCCTCAGTTCTGTGGGCTCAGAACTCCATCATGTCAAAGACCAGAGTTAGCTGAACTCAGTGGTTCTACTCAGGTTCCCAAGAGAAAGGCACATTTGTGTTCTAAGAAATACAGGCTGGCAGGATGAGTCAGGACTTGTTAGTCTGACCAGTGTCATCTCCACTGTAATATAAAGGGAATACATGGGAAGCTCAATCATAGGGTTTCAGGTGATCATGTGGCCAGGTGTGGGTATCCGTCCTGCTGTGTGTGCCCCTTATTACCTTCTAAGCTCGTCAGTGAGCTCCTGAGCAGCCACGTGGATTTTCCTTTTTAGATGTTCTCTGCTTTAGGGGGCTTGAGGCTATTCAGGGTCTGTATGTATATTTCAGTTTGCATTTCCCTAGATAGGATTGAACCCAATATTTGGATAAATGAAGTTAATGCTGGAAGGTCCTTAAGAGGGCATCAAGTACAGGTCTTTCATTTTATAAATGATGTCCAGAGGTCAAGGTTTGCCACAAGTCATACGGCACTTCCTTGGCTGGGCCAGGTCTAGAACCTTGGTCTCTTGGGAGCCAGTGCATTTTCCATTTCACTGTGCAATTTCTTGGCAAAGATTTTGAAGAAATCTTTAAAATTCATAATGTGCATGCTGGAAAACAGCTTACAAACCATCCCAACGACCCTAGAAGAATGTCCTGGATGAGGGGTGTATTAGTTTGGTAATAATCAGCTGCCGTAACAAAGTATTAATACCAGAAACTGATTGGCTTAAGCAACAGAAATTTATTGTCTCACAGTTCTGGAGGCTAAA